AACAAAGGAGGAGGCTACAATGCTTGATAAGAAATGTACTCATTATCTTGCTCATGTAATTGTAACCCCTCTGTACAGTATTTTCACAATAAAAAATAAATACAAATTAAAAAAAAAACAACCCTTTAGGCTACGGACAAAAACAAAAGCAAAAAAACCCCAAAAACCAAAAACAAAACCCCCCTCAAAATCAGAAAAACCAACTCAGGCCTGAAGGTATCAGTGACAGAAAATGTTATCATCTTGGTTCTGGGCCTCTGGGAAAACAGCGATCATCGTCACCACAGAGAACTGAGGCTTCCAGCCCTGGCTGGGCAGAAGCAGACACAGCACTGGACCACGTGCAGAGAGCAGGAACATAATGGCTCAAGGTGCTTGGGAATGTCCTCAGAGCATGTGACATGTACCCTGTTCCCTTCCCAGCCGCAGAAAGTGGTGACGGGGGGACAAGGGTGGGAGAGGGAGAAGGGGGATGGACACCAAGACCTGGCCAGTCCCTACAAGTAGCCTTAACACATTTGGTGAACCAGAAGCACAGCCCTGCACCAAGCTTCTGAATGGCTGGCTCCCTCCATCGTTTTGCAGTGGAGTCTCTGCGCTATGTACACACTGGGGCTTCACAGACTAAACAAGTTTTCAGTCTCTTTCCCCAAGTTCCAGGTGATCTGACGCATAGAGTTGGTTCAGTGTGGAGCCTGGGAGCTACCCTAATTCCCTCCCCTCTTCCTCCAGGTCCCTCTTGCTTCTGTGTTACCTTGGGTGTCAATTACTCAAATCTACCTACATGGGGCCCATTTCCTATTTCATATCTGAAGACTGACCTGTCCTCTTGGTGAAGCTGAACACCTGCCTTCACAGGGGACAGTCTTGTCCCATGGCAACCTGGTGACAATGGTGGTGGGAAAGTCCTCAGAGAGGACTTCCACCTGCCAGGGCCTGTTCTGTTCTCAGCACTATGCTCATATTTCTAATCACACAATCCTCACAACTCTGGTAGGCCGGTACTACCACCTGTTCTCATATTTTTAAAGTGAGGCCCAAGCTGGGCACCACTGGCTCACCCCTGTAATCCCAGCTACTCAGGAGGCTGAGATCTGAGGAATGCAGTTCAAAGCCAGCTCAGAGAAGTCTACAAGACTCTTATGTCTAACTACCAAGGCTGGAAGTGGAGCTGTGGCTCAAGTGGTAGAGTGCTAGTTTTGAGCAAAGAAAGCTCAGGGAAAGCATCCACACCCTGAATTCAAGCCCCAGAACTGGCACACATACGTATACAAAAGTGAGACCCAGAGAAGTTGCGACTTGTCCAGGGTTATTCAGTAGGCAAGTAGTTGACTGGAATTAAAATCCAGAGGGTATGATTCTAAAGTCTGGCTTTATCCACTACAGAGCCACCTCTGCCAATAAATTCAAACAGGAGAGACAGTCATCTGGTTATACTACAATGGCCACAGTTCCCTGAGAGGTGTTACCTTTGTAGACTACATGACAGCTGGTGGACCAGGGAGGCCAAGAATACGTGGGTTGGGCTTGCTTATCAGTTGATATGATTTTTGCAGGGGTCAGATACACAAGCTACCTGGGCGCTGATAGTACACATTTGTAATCCTATTTCCTGGAGAGCCTGAGATCTGGAGGACTGAGGCTCAAGGGCAGCACATGCATACTCACAAGACCTCTTCAGAACTAGTCATTGGATGCAGTGTGCACACCCATCGTCCAAATCACAATGGGAAACATAAAATAGGAGGCTTGAAGTCAAGGCAAGGGCCTGGGCAAAAAGTTAGACTTCTAGAAATAACCAGTGCAAAAGAGCTGAAGGCACGGCTCCATAGTAGAGCACCTTCCTAGTAAGCATAAGCCCCTGAGTTCAAACCCCAGTACTGCTGAAAATAAAATAAAATAGTAAAGAAAGGAAACTACACACAGACTAGGGGCCATGCCTCTGGGTGGGAAGCAGCAGACGAGAATGGCAGGAAGCACCACAGACCACATCTGATAGCCCTGCCCTGGCTAGAAGCTGCCATGAGCCGCTGTCCTGCCCTTTCTCAGAACTTCTGAATATTTGAAACAGTCCAAGACACAACCAGGCACACACAAGCCCCTGCAGGTCTGAAACTGGCTGGCAAAACTTACACAGGGGAGACGGAATTTAGCTCTGTGTTGTCACATGCCAGGGTACTGGCTGTGCTCCTAGGCCTGAACTTCCACCATCTCTCCTCCTCCTGGCTGGCCACTGGCTCAGTCCTCATCTCAGCTGTTGTTTTCTGTCTGGGGCTTGCTCCTTCGCTCCCATGTGGCTGTGCTTTGAGGCCTGGCCAGGCAGGAATGGTGAACACTGAACTGCATTGGAGCAAACCAGACACCATGTGAGCAGGTCAGCTATGAAGAGAGCCGTCAGCACCAACCTTTGCTTGGCAGAGCTGAAAGCTGTGCTCCCAAGATAGCCTGATGTCATCCCATCCAGATGGGATGGAAATCAAGGGAGCCGGCGGGTCTAACCTCTCTCTCTCTCCCACCTGGAGCCCCACCATCAGCCCTAGAGGCTTTGACTCTCCAGATGGCCAACAGCTGGTCTGGCAGAGTGCCTGCCAGATGTGCTCTGCAGGCTGGCAGCTGGCTCCCCTGGGCAGGGTCACCAATTCGGAGCAGGCCAGGGGCTGGCGCCAAGGGGAAGAATGTGTTTGGCTGGCCTGGGGTGGGGGGGCTTTGTGCCCGAATAGTCCTCCCTCTCCTCTCCTATCTGACATTCCTTCCCTCCTCTCCTCAATGGGGTGGTGTTTTCATAACAGGAAAATAAAATCAATAAGGCACTGCAGCACGATGTCAGTGTGCCGAGAGCCAGCCTCCAATAGCTCCATTGTCTCGGGCCTCCGCCGGGCTCTGTGGCCAGCAGCACTCTCAGTTATTAATGGGAAGCAGGGCTGAAAGGGAGTTTTGAAAATCACAAAGGCGCAGCACACCTGGAGTGCGCCATCCTCCACCACAGCCACTTCACAATGGCCGGCCCAGGACTTCCCACCTTTTAATTTTTCCTGCAACTTTTATGAAAGCAAGAAAAGAAAAGCACACACTCTCTCACACACACTCACACATGCCTGCATTCATGCACACATGCAGGCCCTGAGAGGGTTCCTGGGAGGAGACTCTGAATGGCTGACAGAGGCAAAGACAGCCTGTGGAGCCCCCTGCATGGCCGAATGGCAGGATGGGATGAATGGATTTCCTGCCTTGGCCACCAGCCGTCCCTCTGGGGTTGAGGCTGCCTGAGGGGCTCTGAGCAGTGAGCACGAGGCGAACCAGCTCAGCTTGAAACTCTGCAAGAGCCATGACGACACTCATTTCCACATTCTGTTTAATACACAGACTGGCTTCTGCTAGTATTCTGGAGGCTGGAGCTGCTTCTTCCAGAAGAGATGGAGTGAATGAATGCCCTGAAGGCAATTTCTAGGGCTAGTCTTGGGTCCTTGGAGCAGCAACTAAAACCACAGTATGCCTCAGGAGCCTTACCCATAAGACACACTTTCCGTTAGGCTTGGAGGAGACCAAGGACATGAGGAAACTCACCGTTGCGGCAAACCCCACACACTGATGCCTCTGAGGACCTTTGAAGGTCTCAGGGAACTTTTGTTGCCAAGCTGGGCACACTCTTATTTCACTCATTCAATAGCATGTAATTGGCATGTCACCAATTAAATACCCTGTGAGTGAGACAAGGATAGAGACTTTGTGGATTAAGTCCATGGTACCTTCTGGAAAGGTTGTGGTCCACTCCAGGGAGGCCATGACTCTGGGGGAAACACAGTGGAGAAGGTATCGGCCTGGTCCTACAGGAAGGCAGGACCCCCTCTGCCCACCTCATGTCCAGACAGGACACCAAAAGTCTTACCTTGGTGGTGACTGCGGATGCTGAGCTGGCCACGAGGCTGGTGATGGCCTCGCTGCTGCCAGTGGTGCACGGTGCAGGGGCTGTAGCCGGTGTGGGCAGCCGGGAGGGGACCACGGGCAGTGGCAGGAGGCCCGGCCGAGCACTGAGGCTGCTGGCTGTGCCACCCCCGGCTCCTGAGGTGACACTGCAGATGCTGGTGGTCCCATGGGTCCCATTGACACTCCACTCACGACGGTCCCAGCCTACCCGGTAATCTCTTTCAAAGCGACTGTGATGCCGGGACATCTCGGTGGGCCGAGGCAGCTTCTCACAGGGAAACAGAGCCCGGACCTGCTGGCATAGAGCAGAGAGAATAGAGGTTTAGATAACAGCAGCCCTGCTAGGGTGCAGGAAGGTACCTACCACTAACTGCCACCATCTCTCCAAACTCCCCTGCTCTGGGTTCCATAATGGGCTTTCAAATACAAGTTCCTTTCAGGATCAGAGCAAGCCTGTAAGCCTGGCTCATTCATCAGCTCCACTTCACAGATAAGGAAGAAATGATCTGCTCAGGATCATGTGGCAAAAAGTGTAGGAGGCAGGATTTGAGCCCAATTTAGTGGGTTTTGTTCTGCCAAAGACAACCATCTCAGTTATGGTAAATGACAGCCATCTAAATGATGGTTCATGCCTGTCTCCTCCCATCCCCACTGTGAAAAAATATCCCGTGGACCCCTCTTGGCCATGCCTTCTCCAACCACGGGTTACATGACTCAGGAGACCCCTGTAAAATAGACACAGCCTTGACAGACATCTCATTTGTTCCTTCTAGTACTTGTGATATGGCGTGGCACAGACAGTTCCCTATTTATGTTCAAGGGAACTCATCAAGAATAAGGTGATCCCCAAGGATAGGAAATAGTCAGAACAAGGCGAGGATGTCTTGCCTCCAGACCCTAGCCTCTGAAAGCTGCCAGCTTCTAGGAATTGAATTCTTCCTCATAACCTCAACCCTACTAGTATTCCATCTTGGGCACCAGAATCTGTATACCCTGGCCTCTGTTTCCCAGGCCATCTTTCAAATGGCCTTCCTAGTATCTGAACAGAAGGCCCTGCAGGGTTGTCATGGAGACCTAGACACACCATGGTATTGGAAGGGCCTTCTGAGTCACCGAAGATTGCATCTTGCTCTCAGCACCACCACAATGTGGCTGGCTCCTCTCCAGGCAGGGCGTGGCTACCCAAGTCAGGAAAGAGGGAAAGGCAGGAAGAAGAGGCTGTTTTTGTTGCAGAAAGGACGGAGAGGTTGTAGCTTAGGTACCGCGTGGCTCCATACTATTTCTCAATCACTTTCAGTCTAGGGTTTTTAAGTATATACATAAAGCCAGACTCTCCTCCAATCTTTTCAACTCACCAGTTATCTACTACTACTGTCATAGAGTAAGAGCCTTGACCACCCAAGCAAAAGGCTACCATGCTCTGCTTGTGGCTGGCCTGGCTCTGGCTGCCCCCTCTGCCAGGTGCATGAAGCAGACCTGAGTCCAACCTGAAGCCTGAAGCTGAGCCCATAGCCCACCTGAGGTAGAGATGAGCCTCACCGTCAAAGCTGGATGTGGGCTCGCTGTGTTCACTGTTAGGCTTCCTGGCTAATATGATGTCACAAAACTTCTTGTAAAAATGTCTTGTCAATATCACATGGTTAAAAAGTGAAAATCTGTTTCTCCCCTCCCCCCATGCCCTTCATATACTTTTTCTCGTCTGCTCTGGACTCTGCGCAGCCCTGACTGCACCCACACTGGGGCACTTGCTCTGAGGTCATGGGCGATGCATTTGTTAAATCCAATGTACGCTCATGCCCCATGTCCCACTTGGCTTCCCTTACATGCTGTGGTTGATCTCTTGCTTCTTGGAGCCCATCTCTGTGGCCACTGTGACACACTGCTTATGCCCAGCCTTTAAAGCTGAGCTCCCTGGTGCTCCATGATTTCCCCTTCTCCTCACTCTCTAAGCACTCTCTGAGAGACCTCATCCAACACCTACCTCTTAACATTTCCGGTTAACATCTCCCTACCATCCTACAGCCTGCTCTACACCGTCACCTGGCTGTTCCCCAGGTACTGAAGTGCCACGTGTCCCTAAATGAACTTCTTGTTCTGTTGCCCAAATGCACATCCTTAGGAATTCTCTGCCTCGGAGATGGCTGCTGTTTCCCGTCTCTGCCTCTATTCGACAGCAGTCTTAGACCACATTGCTCAGGTGGCTCTCAAACCCACCTCTGTCTACACGGCTACTTCCTTCTTTCACTGTCTTCCCATCAACTACTTTGATTCCTCTTCCTGCCTTTATTCTTGCTCTTCTTGTTCATTCTCCACCTGCCACCTATTTGTTTTGTTTTGTTTTTAAAGCACAAATCTGATCGTGGTAGTTGGTTAAAATTCCATTCTTCATGATAAAGTCCTAACTCATCCCAGTGGCTCAGAAGCCCTGGAGGGACTGGGCCGGCTCGTGCTTCTAGCTTTCCCCTCTCACTCACCACATCCCAGAGGCGACACTCACTCACTCCAAACACTCATGGATTCTGAAGGCCTCATGGCCTCTCAATTCAGGGCCCACACTAACATTACTCCTTTGGTAGGAATGGCTTTTGGCCCTCTCACTAGCTAAGACCTGTCTTCTATGAGCTGGCATTGTGCTACCTCTTTCTGGAGATGACAAGAAGCACTCCATGTCTGACAGGATATCCAAAGCCCACCTCTCAGTGGCCAGCACCCATAGTTATCATATGTCTGCCATCTCAAGACAAAGGTCCAAGTCCTTGTTATCTTGGCAACCCCAGCATGCAGCCTAGAGTCATGTAAGGAATTTCAGTATATTTGTATTTCTTAATTGCTGGACATTTCTAGAAAGAACAAACACATTAGGACATAAGACAACTGAATCCTTGAGTTTTTCCTTTTTTTTTTTTGACCTGCTCCGTTTCGGACCTGGGCCGGTTCACCCCTCCTTAGGCAACCTGGTGTTCTCCCGCTCCCGGAAGGTCACCATATTGATGCCGAACTTAGTGCGGACACCCGATCGGCATAGCGCACTGCAGCCCAGAACTCCTGGACTCAAGCGATCCTCCGGGCTCAGCCTTCCGAGTAGCTGGGATTACAGGCGCGCGCCACCGCGCCCGGCATCCTTTTTTTGTTGTTGTTGTTGTTGCTCATGGGGCTTGGACTGTTGAACTCAGGGCCTTGGCACTGTCCCTGAGCTTTTGGACTTAGGGCTAGCATTCTACCACTTTGAGCCACAGCACCACTTTCAGCTTTCTAGTGGTTAATCAGAGATAAAGAGTTTCACGGGCCTTCCTGCCCAGGCTGGCTTTGAACCATGATCCTCAGATCTTATCCTCCTGAGTAGTTAGGATTACAGTCACTGGCTAATCCTTGAGGGTTCTGACTGGCAATATTTTGGAGGCACTGAAAGAAGATGACCTAACTTCCAAGCTGGAAGGACTTCAGCCTCTAAGGAAAGCTATCGGAATATCTGCATGGTGAACTGGACCTTGTAGCTCAGGGTCTGGTCTCTCAAGTACCTGCCAAGGCAGGATTCTTGCTAATGGTCACTGCCTCAGGGCACTTCTTCCCTAGGCTGACTCCAATGTGGACAAAGACTATGCTATATATTCTCCACACTGCATTCTCTTTCCTACCACCCAGGATCATCTCTCCCAGCTATCTCCCAGACAAGGGTCTGGCAGATAGAAAGTAGGGAGGTGATGGAGATGGCTTCTAGATCTATTAAGAAGGAGCAGAAATAGAAATGGAGAGGGAAGACGGGGACGGGAGTAAGAAATGGGGGGGTGACTATGTCATGGAAATGTCATGACAAAATCCTTTACTATGTACAAATCAGTATGCACCAATGAAAAACATAAATGAAACAGAAACATCCTCTATGACCCTGTAGTTTGCTTCACAACCTTGACAATCATGGAGATCACGTGTTCCAGAGGGTGCAGCTGCCCCTGGAAAAGGCTGCCTCAACGGTGTCAAGATTTGGGAGATTAGAATTTAAATCTTTATTGTGCTAAGGCACTGTGGTGGCTAGACAACTTGTTACCACAGTGTAACCTAGCCTTGCCTGACTGATACACGCAATCAGTTCCTATATTCCAACAAAGCAACACAGCCTCGTGTATTCTCAGAGAAATCATCTCTTCCCAGCTGACCTGAGATGACCAATGCCTGCGTAATATAAGATGTGCCTAAAGCTAGCAGAACAGCTTGGGACCAGACTAGATAAAGCCTCCCATGCCAATACAGCCTCTCAGCTGACTGCCTTGGGGATCCCCTACTGAGCCCCTTGAATCTCCATCTTACAGTTCCAGAAAGAAAAGCCTGCCCCTCAAACCTGCCATCTTTAAACTACTGCCATCTCTCCCAGCCTCCTTGTAAAGCGAGAGAGGAGGTGGAGACTCAGGCAGCTGGAGGCCACACAATCTGGTTTCAGTCTCATTAAGTGTATTCAAAACAAAGGTCAACTATTTGCATGCAAGCGTTCGGGTCAGACCTCATTCCTCAGTTTAATTTTCCCTTTTAGACGAATGAAAGAAACGTGTCACACAGTTTACTCTGAGCAAGACGGCAATATGCCAGCTCCTGAGGTGGCAACTTAAGTATTTCCTGCTGGGCTCAGAGCCAGTGTGTCACAGAGGCCCCGTGTGCACACACGTGTGCCTGAGTGGCGCTGCAGGAGACACAGGAAGTGCACGTGCAGCGGAAGGAGGCCCTGAATGGACGAGGTGTCAGCAGTCCAGACTGGTCAAACAATTACAGACAAAACACAGAAAAATGCTTCCTTATTGTGGGAGCGCCCTTTCCTGGCAGGCTGCCCGTGAACTGGCAGAGCCTGGCACGAGGCCCTGTACCACGAAGGGAGGGTATGAGCAGCAGTCATTCCTCGGTATGGAGGGGACAGTTACTAGAATTCAGGCTTCTTGTCCGACAGAGGAGTTTCTTACCAGGGCCTGTATGGATGCCACCCCCACATGACGATTAAAGCTCAGGAGTCTAGGAATCTTGGACTGGGAGGGGAGGTGGTGGTGGAGGCAGGTCATGCTGAGGTCTGTTTGTTGGACTGTCCAGAGGATGCTGGAGTAGAAGAGAGGTGGGAAAAGGACTGGACCTTAGTCCATGCTTGTTTACATACTCTTCCATGACCTCATATATGTAACCTTTACGAGGGCCCTTGTGGCTACTTCTCAGTGCCTGGTCCAATTCCAGAGCTGTTAGAGTTCCAATTCTGCCCACAGCTTGGTCAGTTCAGACCTTGGATTTTCCATTCCCTTCTCTTTGGCTACA